TCTTAATCTGAAAATTCGTCACCTCATTCAAAGCTCGTGGTGACTGGCATTTCACACAGTTCTCATCAGGTAATACCTGCCATTGAAATGTACTGAGATGCGTGTAAGTGGCTAACTGATCCTTCTCATCACCACGGTCCAGGCCACCCGGGGCCGGGCCATCCAGGGCCTTCTCTCCTTCTCAGCAGATCAAACCACATATCTGGTCTAACAACCGCAAAGTCATCCCCCAGCTTCTTCACCATGCTATTGACACTCGCCGGCGTCACATCAAAGGCACTCACAGCCCCGGCTACAAACAAAGGACCGCGTCCCCTATAACTCTCCGAGATGTTCTTCAACGTCGTAGCGCCGCTGTCTTCGTTCCCGATGCTCACCATGTTCGTCACCGGAAAAGCCTCAGTGACATTAACCTGCAGCGCCTCCAGCGTAGAGACAAACGATCCGTACAAGATCCCCCGAAGTCTTTGCTTTCCCACAGCATTCTGAAACGCGAGCGTCAGCTCCGGAGTCAACGGGATGTCGGTAGCGTTAATGCGGTCGTACACGAACAAGACGCTATCAGTCCGTGTCTCCCGTACGTACTCGCCGCTTTGGGCGAGGAAGTCGGACAGAGCCCTCTTCGGCCAGACGCCCGGGTAGGTGTACCCTGCGCCGTCGGGTCCGGCGATGAGCAAGTCGTTCTTGGTGGCAGTTCTTTGGTAGTACGAGAGGATGCCTGGCCCGATGTCGCGGAGGAGGGGGCTGATTGTCCAGCCGAGGGGGACTGATCCCCTTTCCGGATCGTTCCAGTGGGTGAACATGGCTCGTTGGTCGTATTGCAGGTTGTCGCCTTCGAGGTAGATTAGGGACAGGAAGACTTTGGGGAGTTTTCTTGGTGGAATGCCCCAGGGAGGCTGTTTGGGTGGACTCTTCGACGGATCTTTCGAAGGATTTTTCGAAGGGTCTTTTGATGGGTCTTTCGACTGTTCCGTTGGTTGATCTGCTGGCTGTTCCTTTGGCGCAGACTGTTCCGCTTGGTCTTTCGATCGGAACCCACTGAACAACGTCGGATTGAAGTAAAAGTCCGCCGCACCCACGTATATGCCGTTCTTTGCCAGTTGCGTAACTCCGGTCATCTCGTCGCCGTTGGGAAACCAGCCGAGGTAAGCTGCGTTGGGCTGGAACTGACGAAGAAGCTTGTCCAAAAGGGCCGCCTCCCGCGGCCTGTTGCTGTCCAGCCAGATGCACGGAGCCGCGGTGCCGACGATGTAGTCGCGAAATATCGAGTTGACCTTCTGGTACCCCGGCTTCTCCGCCGATGCGGAGACTAAATACTGATTCCACATCGACAGTGTGAGCGTTAACTGAGTGGCTCGTCTGGGGTAGTCGAACTTGTAAATCATCGCGGCTGAGCCGTCTGCAAAGCGCCAGCCTCCAGGGTAGTCGGCCAAGTGAGAGCCCCCATCGTCAAATAGGAAAGCGTCTTCTGCCTCGTCACCAGGTCGGAAGTCGGCCACGGTCTGGTTGTCCGCTGTAAACTGGACTCGGTAGACCGAAGGACCAAACCCATCGGCAGGGAAGGCATCTGTGATGTTGATGTAAACAGTCTTACTGGGGTTGATAAACCGGGACAGGTCGGTAGTGTAAGTGCCGTTATTAGAACTATCCGTAACGGATGAGTTGGCCTTCAGGAGAGTTTCCCAGGTCCTGTTTGCGTACAACACAGTCGAGATAGGTTTTATCGCTGTGATGAGGCGATCCGTGACCTTAGGCCACACGCTCCGGGCTGCGTACTCGTATAACTCGTATTTATCCTTGAAGCGCCCTCTCAAATCCTCAATGACAGATATGTTGAAGCGGCGCGCCAGCTCTTCGGTTGCTATTACGGCTCCGTAGAGGCCAGCCAGTGTCGAGGCGAGATTGATTGTGTCTGGTAGTTTTATATCATAAACGATGGCTCCGCGAATTTCAGATTTGTACTTGTCAACCAGCCGAAAGGGGTCACTCGTCACATCGGCACTCTTGAATCCTTGACCTTCGATTTGCCGCAGCCAGGCTTCGTTGACTGCATCGTCGGAGTTCGAGGAGTCTGGTGACCAGTAAAGATATAAGCGTGGTTGGCGCCGGTTCACCAGTCCCTGCAGAGAGACGAGGAGGATTTGCTCCTCGCCGGACAATGCCGTGAGTTTCGCGTATTCAATTTCTTTTGCGGCATCCGGGAACAGCGGCAATGCTCGATTTGCTGGCCAGTCTAGGCCAGAGACGCCAGGCGCTGAGGAGCCCAAAGCAGCTAAATTGCTCAATGCTAGAAGCAGCAGGACACGCATCTTTCGTCCTCTTCACAAGTCATATGACCTGGCCGTGATACAAGAATGAACGAACAATGGTGCGACTTTTCTATGCAAGAAAGCGACCATCCCGGATTCATAAACAACTCATGAGAACTGAACAAACGAGGCGAGCGAAGCGGGGAACAGAGGTCCATGAAAGTTTGCTTCAAATTCCTCAGCTTAACTCTGTTTCAATGACTAGTGCATTACTTTTGCAGCACTACGAAACATCGTCGCAGAGTTCACTCTGGTAGCCGCACTCTTGTAGATCGTCCAATCTTGACTGACACCGGGTCATCTCGTCTCATCCGAACGATAAGTATAACATGGCTGCTTGATTCGTATCTTCAGACGACGTCTACAGTTTACGGCGCACTACTAACAGTTCCCGGCCTAAACTCTATTTCACCGGCACTTTGATTGGGACTGCGGCAGCTTCAGCGGCTGCAGCGGCTGTCGAGGTGGGAAAAACAGACGTAAATCAAGTCCTTAACTCCCTAGTCGTTCTACTCGCCTTTGACCCCTCCCCCTTTCGATAGGTTTCCATGCCCTATCGTCTTGGTTCTATTTCCCAGACTTGAGAAAGCTTTTCCTCCCACGAAACCTGTAATAGACTTCCTGGTCATGTCTCCCAAAGATCATGCCTAGAGTCTTGCTATCCGGGCGGGTAACTACCTATATTAGGTCTAGTAGTTGATACTTTTACTAATTTTGTTGCTGTTCCTATTCCCCTCTACATCTCTATCATTGTTCTTATTGTTGTTGTCGTCGTCGTCGTTATTATCGTTGATTATCCCTATTGCCGTATATCCACTGCCCGCCTGCATAGCAAAACTCCATGCCTATTGTTTGCGTAATTGACACCATTGCTAGATACTGTTCATCTCTTCAATCCAAAGACTACCTAGAAAGGCTTTTCCCCCACGGTGGAGCCACCTATTGCAGAAGCTTCGCGATGGGGCATATGAAACAGAGGCGTGGTCTGATATATGAATTCACTGTGGAATCAACAAATCAATGAATTTTCCTGCTTTCCAAACGCATTGTTTCTTTACGGCTACCTTACATTCGCAAGCTTGGCCTTCTGAGCTATTGATCTTACACCGCATGCACTGTTGTGGCTTAATACTCACAGGCTCAACACTAACTATCCTTTTCCTGTGATCAGTGTGTACTTATCCCCAAGCCTCTCGCGACTGAAATTTGCAGACCCCTTGTAATATGATTGTCTTCCGTCTGTCCAGCATATGCATACATATCCTTTAACATACCATCGACTTTCTCGCTGGAAGATATTGCCCGGAAGGTGTAATCGTTCTAGTCGGCTACCTCACGCTAGACGGTTTAGCACTTGGCACGTTTTTGACTGAGGTTAGACGCGAGTGGTAGCTGTGGACATGGATGAAGAGCAAGATGACGAAGACCTGGCCACTGAAAAACTGGAGAAACCTATCGATACCCCATACGATATGTATTCGCGTCGCCCGGAACGGAGCCTGATTCTCGTCTCTCGAAGCCCAGTGGCGACTAAACCACCAGTGTATTATATCCAACATCGGAGGAAATTCAAGCGCCGGCTCCGTCAAAAGTATCATTTGCTCCGTCCTCGAGGAAGCCGATCCACCGTCTGCGAATGTTGATCTTGTAACACTCTAACTGCATGAAAGAGTATGTTTCAAGTATCTTCTTCTTCTGCATTTGTTGCATAGGACGTAGAACGAAATGAATCTATGGATGCGCCTCCCTCCAGTTCGATCGACTGGCGTTGGACGAACTGAACGAGCACTTATGAGTATCATTTTGTTGGCGATACAATTTAGGAAAATTGATCGTGCGATTTCAACATAGCAGATTGTCATTCTTACACCATACGAGATCATCACCCTCTACAAAAATTTCAAAGACACAGTATGATTGACAGAACCACGCAAAGATCCAAGTGTTCGAAGGATGGCTCCTGCTTCTAAACGTGCGGGCTCAACGGACCAGCGTTTGACTGTTAGTCTGTCTTAAGTGACTGCTTTTCTTGGAGTGTTGAAAGAGGCGAGACGGACGGTAGGTGCGCAGGGCCGGTAAGGATGGCATCGCAAAAGGCTTTTGCCGCTCACGCAGCGATAAAATTATCATTGTCACTTTTATGACCAGATCACCAAGCTACTGACCGTCATGCCTTGTGCATCAAGACTGCCACTTATGGTTGTAGAAATATTTTAGTAACAGAGGTCATTCAGGGCTCTTCAGAATTAGTCTCAGTCGCAACGGAATTTGAGTTGAATGTGAGCGGAGGGGGGTGCACCAAAAGTTACTACAGAAACTTTGCGCGCCACTCACCTTCTCTCTTCTACAAAGGTAACACTTGATCAAGGCGTGGGTGTTTCGCCATACTCAAACTCTACAGAGAGGGAGGGTCGCACAAGGTCGTTTTTTTCTAGACAGGGGTGGTAATTTCTTGAGCGGTATGATTTCTATAAATTGTCCGCTCTTTTTAGAGTCTCAGGACGTATTGAGTTTCCCTTACAATCCGAAATTCTCCTTCTCTTTCACCCCACCTCACCTCAAAACACACAATGGCATCTCAAAACCCATTACCGGCCCCACATTCGATTCTGTATGAGGCAAAGTGCTGCTTGTGGAGGGCGGGTTCTGAGTCCTATCGCTGGGGCTTCTATCTCTATCGGACAACCTACGATGACCAAGCACTTTAGGAACGGTACCTCGAACACATCCACGGGTGCATCGATGCCCAGCTCGCTGTCGAGACAGAACTTGATAAAGAACGTTTAAAGCGACACTTCCGTCTCGCCGTTATTGAAGAACCAACCCTCAACGAGGCACCCGTCGAGCTAGTCCGGCAAAGATTCAGGACGTGGGTTTCAGACCTTCCACCTGAAGGCGACCAGCAGCAAGATGTACCTCCTATCGAGCACCGCGATCCCGTCCTTTTCAGCTACCCGTTATATGTGGACACTGAGTGCCTTGAGTCTTTGCTGGCCTACGATAAGGCCGTCGAAGACGGTCAACATGAGGATGACGCGTCTGACCTCGTCTTCGTGAAGGCAATCAACGCCGAGCAGCCGTGGGCTAGAAACGATAGCGAAGATGAGGAAGAAGATATGGACGAAGAAGATATGGACGAAAGAGATATGGACGGCGGTAACAACGATGTGCAAAAGGATAATCAGCATGACCCGGAATACTACTGGATGCTCGTAACATGCACTTACCTGGGCGGTTACTGGGAGCAGATGGGGCTCGGCTGCCAGTGGCACATGCAGTTCTCGTCGTGCAGGTACCCACAAAAGCAACGCCGGGAGCCTTCGTAGAAACGGGTTCTCGCAGCTATGTGGGTTGAAGTCTCAGATAATCACGTCTTGCCGAAGATGTGTGCTCCGCCATGGACGCTTGTCGGTAACAGTTACTTCAACCACCTTGGGGCTATCACTTCATGGTCAAGGATCCACACATTCATTCTAGTACTGTATGTCAACCCGCAGCAGGAGAGACATCATGTTTATCCAGCCATTGGCATTCACGACATCATTCACAGGCTGTGTATGGCTGGTCTCGAGACTTTGGTCGAGGACGAGGTCTGCAACGAGGATACTTGAGTCACGAGGAAATGCGTATTTAAGGTGTTCGTGACTGTCGCAAGCTTATGAGTCAAGGCAAATACAACACCAACATGAAATCCGAAACTCTTCAAAGTTGGACTCAAATTTTCTATGAATATTTACTCAGGCAGCCTACGTACGGTCTTGCACGACTTGGAGGGATGCAGCAAACCAAAAGGCTCAAACGTGCCCACATAAAAAGCCCTGATAATGCCAACAACCATCAATAGGTGTATTTAAGTTGAGCAATCACACCTGTTATTCCTATCCCTATCATAACCCACCTTCTCTTCGATGATAAACTTGCGATTGTTTTATTTTGGCGGCATCACGAGGATATCCAAAAGATCTGTAGAGCTAGTTCTTTCTCCAGTGACAAGGTGCTTTGGGGCAGCTCACGGTAATTGCCGCTTCTAAGATTGTGGCGTTATTGATGGAGGTGTCCGGTGCAACAGGAACGCAAGCGTCGGGAAATGAGGGAAGGATTGTCGCAAACGTTCAATCCTGGGGTAATCTCTCTCCCAAGCAAATTAAGAGGCGTGGTCATCCACTGGGCTTTAAATGCCGATACCCTTCTCGAGGATGCCAACACACAAAGATGACGTTATCAAAAATTCCTCTTGGGATAATTGTGATTACACAGCCAACACGTTGCTGACGGCGGGCGATGTGAAACCCTGGTGGAGGAGTGTCTGGATCTACTCTGCCATCCGTGCCCGGCATCCCCTGCCCCTTCTGCTGATTAAGCTAACGGGATTTCTGCTTCTGGCCGCCTCTGACCACAGACGTGAAAATCTGAAACCAGCTCAACCCGCGCCCAAGCTTTGGTTCCCAATAGATTGGATGAGAAGGCTTAGCTTCATTGACTTTGGGCTGTTCAGACGACAGCTCCGCTAAAAAGCAACCTTGAAACTACTGTCTTACGATGGGTTTCCTGACCTACAGAATGTGTAGAGGCCAGAATATCCCGCGGCGTATCTGATCAGGCCGCCGCTCACAAATATAAATGCGCTTGTAGCTTCTTTGCAGACTCTTCGCATTTGATCCAGGTTTCCATTCGTTTTTCATTTTAATCCTCCAGTCGTTCATTTCTGTCGTTGATAGCTGGCCTGTCTACACGTATTATACGTCTTCTAAATCTTTGAAATCACTCATTTAGTTTGAAATCACTTCTTTTTTTATTCATGCCATCATGCATTACTCGTTTCTTCTTGTACTAGCGATCATTACGGTCGGCTATGCGGCCATTCTGCCTAGTTCTTCAGCAAGCGGCGACATTGGGATGGTCGTGGCAAGACAGTCGAAGTCAGCGTCGGAAAACTGTCTGAAGAGCAACTTGATCCAAAGCGCAAGTGCTTTGACCGGCCAAGAAAAGGGAACAGACGGAATCAAAGCAGGGCAAGCAAAGTCGGCGACGTAAGTAAAGCTTCACTTCTATAATGCGTCGCTGAACTGACTTTTCGTGATAGAGATAAAGACAACTTCATCAACTTCTGCGAGGGCCAACAAATCACCAACGGCAAGCAAATCACGGCAGGCTCTTGCAATGGTATCCCGATGGGCAAGCTCCCCGCCCAGAAAAACATGATCTCGGCCATGATTACGAATCCGCAGCCTGGCACCAAACTTCAAGCTGGCCAAACGTTCAATGTTTCTGTGCAAACGACGCATCTCAAGGCTGGTAACTTTGTCAACCCGACAACCAACTACTATACCGCGCCGCAGGATCTCGACGGCAACGGAGACATCATTGGTCATTGCCATATCACTATTCAGGACATCGGCTCTCTCACGTCTCAGACCCCGCCAGATCCGTCCAAGTTTGCATTCTTCAAAGGTATTGACGATGCGGGAAACGGCAAAGGGCTTCTCCAAGCCGCGGTCGAGGGTGGCCTTCCGGCGGGCACGTACCGTGTGTGCACCATGATCGCGGCCCAAAACCATCAGCCTGTGGCTATGCCGGTGGCTCAGCGCGGTGCACAGGACGACTGCACCAAGTTTGTGGTTGAGGGATCCTCGAATGGCGGAAGCAAAACAGGTGCTGCCAAACCAACGGCTAGTGCTAAGCCGAAGAAGAAGCAAGGGTAGTTTCGTGCCAAGGTTGGAGAGCAAAATCTCCTATTGCTTGAGATTGAAGAGCTTGGTTCTTTCGGAGTGGATGGCTATAGAAAGTAATCAAGAAATGCTAAAACTCACGAATGAGAGATCTAAACCTATCTTGGTATATCACTTTACTGCCCGCAAGTACACCTTTTGTGCTAATGACCGCGAGGGACCAAAAGGGAAGCACAGGAAATTCTGATCTCTAGAAAGTTGGCTGTGCTATCCTATTTTTTGCATGCACTTAGCCCGGGTAAAACGGCTATGCTTTGAATTCAATACCTCCGTGCAGCTTATTATGTCACGCCGAGGATCGTTGAGATCATACAAGCATACACCTAGATCATCATACGTCGGCAGCGCAGGTCTCCACGTCCGAGCAATGAATCTAGACAACCTCTGAACTCAAGTAAGGCTGTTGATTGTTCTTGATATCAATCATGACGGCGTTACGGGCAACGTTGTGTTGGGAACAGACGAGGAAATCAATTATGATAGCAGCCGGTTTGATGTGCAACTTTTGGCCCTGATAATGATCTAGTATTATAAAAGAGGTCATTTGAAGAGTATCGGGCTTGTATTCCACTCGAAAGGAGCACCCTCGCTTTCAAATAGGCGTTGTTGTCTTGAAAGCCAATTTTACTGAGGGCAAGGTCGATCAATCCAAGAACGTTGATGATTACGTTATTACAAGTGTACATGCACCATGTTTCCTTTAACTTCGCCCAGTAGCGGGTGCCTACACGTCATTCAGCAATAAAGCTCGATCGCCAGCAGTCGAAAAACGTAGACATGGATGCTGAGTGCTGTCGCACACTCTATGGGCCATCATTTTCCATCCGACGTTTCTTCACAGGAACTTCTGACTCTTCTGTATCAAGATGTACCATCACAGGGGTTATTGCATGCATTAGTGCTGACTGCTTACTTGAACTGATTTGTGTCTCCACTGACAATCCCCCTCATTCCACAATGCTGGCCGCAACCCCTCAATTCTTCTATTCCCACCTGTAGCTGCGTACAACACTCCGTCATCTTCATAGCCTTCCAGCTCAGTCAAACGATAACCAACTATCTAAAAATGGCTTCACAGTTTGTTCTTTTCGATATCCCCGACAAAAATGGCAGAGCCTGGTCATTCAACACTTGGAAAAGTATGAAAAGCATGCGCCCCATACGACGACTTCTGCTGACGCCAAACAGCTCGCCTGGCTCTCAACTACAAAGGCGTTGATTACAAGAGCGAGTGGCTTGAGTATCCCGAAATCGGGCCCCGATTGAAAGCTGCGGGGGTTGAAGGAGATTCTGAACAGTACACACCATATACCTGCCCCACGGTGCAGTTTCCCGATGGGACCTATGTCATGGACAGCGCAAAAATCGCCAAACGTCTCGAAGAAGAGTATCCTGAGAGGTCCCTAGATCCCGAAAATGATCTAGCGCAGGCTGCTTCTCTATTCCAGCGCAAGATTTGGGGTCCACTGCAGCCCGTCTTGATGCCCGAAGTTTATCGAACGATACTTGGCGAACGCAGCAAGCCTTTCTTCTGGGATACTCGGAAGAAGGACTTGGGTGGCATGACAATTTACGAATTTGAGAAAGACCACGGCGGCGAGAAGGCATGGGAGAAGGTCACGCTGCCCCTTCAAGAGGTATCTGCCCTCCTCAATAAGACGGAAGGGCCCTTCTTCCAGGGTAGCCAGGGTAAGTTACTATCTTCTGGTCTTAGACTGAGGTCTAATGAGATCTCAGTGTCATATGCCGACTTCATCTTGGTGGGCTTCCTTGAATTTGTCAAGAATTACGCTCTTCAGCATTACCAGAGAATAATCGGGCTGTCCGATGGGCTAGACAAGTTGCATGAGGCTTGTCTTCCATGGTTAGAACGAGACGACTGATGAATTCCAGCGACACCATGCTGCTCGACCTAACTTGTGGTGTTGTTAGACATATGGTCCAACATTTTGCGAATAAAGACAGCTCCGGCCTACAGTGTTTCCTGTCGTACGTTGATAAGGAAAACGCGATTATATGAGGATGAAGCCTTGAACCTTAATTCAGGGGAGGAGGGAGGGGAATACAGCAGTTCATGACTTTCAGATCTGATTAAATCTTGCCACAAACCCTAGAGGTATTACGGCTCCAAAGGCCCCCAAAGTGGCGTGTATATACGTCATTTTCTATGAGTATCCCAGCAGTGCTTATAAAACTTTGATTCTTGTTCCGTTTCCTCGCAGACATCTCAACCTGTTTCAAATTGACTGGAACCTAGTCTCCCAAAGTCCAGTTTCCCCAATCCCGATCCACACCATGTCATCAGAGAATCCATACCCTCCCTATGGCTCCTCTCTTAGAGAAGCAAAATTGCAACTCTGGCAGCAGGGATCTGGTTCTTATTACTGGGGCTTTTACGTATACCGAACTACGTACGACGAGCAGGAACTTTGGGAGCGATACATCGCCTACATAAATCAATGCATCGACAATACGCTCAAATTTGAATCAGAGTTCGACAGAGAGCGCTTGAAACGGCATTTTCGCCTTACGATCATCGAAGACCCGTCGCTCGCAAACGTATCTACTGAACATGTTCGGCAAAAATTCATGAAGTGGGTATCGAGTCTCCCTCCTGGCGGAGACCAACCTGGCGGAGACCAACAGGGAGAGGTACCCCCGGAAGATCAACGGGATCCCATCCGTTTCGCTTATCCTCTATACGTGGATTCTGAGTGCCTCAACTCTTTGCGGGCTTATGATGAGGAACTTGAAAAGACTGGTTATGAGTTGAAAGCACACCGACTTGTTTACATAAAAGCAATCAACGCCGAACAGCCACAAGTCCACAGCGGCGCCGAAGTCGAGGACGATGATGCGGATGAGGAGGCAGACGAGAGCGAGAACGACGATGGCGAAGAAGAAGAAGAAGAAGAAGAAGAAGAAGAAGAAGAAGAAGAAGAAGAAGAAGAAGAAGAAGAAGAAGAAGAAGAAGAAGAAGAAGAAGAAGAAGAAGAAGAAGAAGACAAGAACAATGGCCATGGAGACGTTCCGGATGACCTAGAGTTTTATTGGATGCTCGTGACTTGTAGATACCTTGCTGTCTACTGGGAAATAATGGGGCTCGGTGGTCAATGGGAGCGACAGTCCTCATACCCTCAGAAGCGACCTTGGAAAGAGACTTAGGCCGAGATCTCTTTGGTCGTTGCTGAAAAATTGGACACTGGAGTTTAGAAGAGCTCACTAGCGACGCTCACGGTCAAGAAGAAAACAGAAGTGACGAGCGTTGGCGGTAATAGCTTCTCAATAACTGAGGATTTCATTGATTTCTTTTTGAGGAACATTCCAGGCTAGAAATTGTGCTATGGAATAACCTACTTCAAAGTGTGAAACATAAACACAAAGCCCGCCATAGATTTGCTCATACGATGTCGTGTTAGATCATGTATAATATAGGTGAACTGTGAAGGCGGTAAAACACAAACACGGCATCTTAGTTGGCGCTGCTAGCAGGAACATCTGTGAAACCGTGAAATTTATGAACTGCACGTGGCGTCCACATCGACGTCATCAAAGTAATCAATGTCTGTAACATGTTCATAAGCAATAACAGTTGCCCCGAATACTTTGCGATGCGAGGTTGCTTCCTCATCGACGGAGTAAAATACAAACTTATCTTTTATCAGCCAAGCTTGAAGTTTTATCAGTTTCATAAGTTCATAACTGCCTTCCACGATAGAAAGTAAGTCCTACTTGCGCCCACCCAGTGATACATACTCTAGCACAGAAAGAGCGATATGCCGATGCACCATTTCTGAATTGCTTCTGTTTTCAGAAAAGCCCACAGAAGTCGGTGCAAAATAGGAGGAAACTTCGATAACAACATTGCCTCTGACTGCCGCGGACGTGTGCCTGGAAAGAGCAATTTGAGTGGGCTCCTAGAGCTAAAATAGAATTGAAACGGTTCGACTGCCGAATTTGCCAAGAGCCTGGCATCGAAATCGGATTGAAGTGAGGGGAAATCAAAGAGATAAATACAGAACAACCATCGCGAGCAAAACACCTGTCAAATAGCTTGGTCGCATGAGGTCAAGCCGAGCTGTAATCTTGAATAAATTGTACGTCAGCAGCACATGGCGAGTCGAGACCCTGCGAAAATCGCCAACCGAAGCTCCCATCCCTGGCGAAAACTCTCACGGAGATTTTGAAGAAACAGGCAAAACGACCGACAGTGAACCACCCGCCGCGTGCTCAAAAGCTGGCTGCACTGCAAAAGAAGTCGGCCTCTGCGTCCGATCCCATCCCGGCGCACGTCAACTTGGCGCGCGGGATGCCAAGTCAAATCCAGGCACGAGGCCAGAAATTAGCCCAGAAACAACCCATTTTTGGGGTCTTGCGGCCTATGGTGCCTGTGAGAGGTAAATTCAAACTGTCTGGGGAGACCGTGGGTTAGAAATAGATATGGTTGTCTGGGGTTAACAGTGATTGTGGGGCGGAAGTCGTCTTAACGCCGTCTGATAAGTTCCATATCGCTGGCCGATCCGGGGTCTGGTGGCTTGCGCATGAACGACAGCGGGAGAGCAGCGATATTGCCGAGTCAGTAGTCATAAACAATCCCTTAGCCGATACGCAGACACGCGAGAACGAGGCTTACATACTGTTCAGACCCAGTTTCGCGGGCCAAAAAATCAGGGGTCGCTCAGGAACTCAGCCCTCTTGGTTGATTCCCGGCCGACAGGGCGGCATGTCGGAATGGTTCACGTCAAAGATGTGACCCCGAGGACCCACTCGGCCATCAGCTTCGGTAGCTTTTTATGGGATGGCAGCCTTGAAAAGGCCATCTACTTGGTAAGCGACTAAGCTTAACAGTGACAACTAAGATAGGAGAACCCTCATGACAGTGGTGCAATTGGACGCTGAAAATAGCGGGCTTCCTTGTTGGCGATCCACAGATCCCACCGGTAGGGTTCACTCACTTAGACTTAGAATAGAGGTAGAGATCGAACTAGACGAACCATCTAACCGAGGGGAAATGGGCAATAGTGGTCATGATATATGATTCCATCAGATTTACAATGACATAGATTATAAAGTCTTTGAAAATCCCGTTAGACTAGAGAGTTCTGGATCATCCACCCATCTTGTTCTCCTAAGGTCACCAAGCGCAAGCGCATCTACTACCTTCGCTTTCACTTCTCTGCTCTTTTCTCCACTTTCTTCTTGATGAAGCTGGCCAACATGTCGACAAAACAGGTTTTGTCAGTTATTGCTCTTCTTGCCAGCTACGGCCTGGCGACCCCAGCCCCCTTCCCAGTCAGGGGTAACCACCACGGCCCCGAAGGCTTCAAGCCGGGCTCCGGCATCCGACCCTCCGGTGCCGTCTCGTCACTGCCCACAAGTACTCCCGATCCCGTTACTCCCGATCCCGCCTCCAACCCTCTCCAGCCCGCAGCGAGCGGCACCCCGGGCAAGGGCAACAGCACCGGCGGCGGCCCCACCCTACCCGCCGGCTACAAGAAGATCGTCTTCCAGGACGACTTCTCGACACAGAAGGCCGGCGCCCTACCCGATTCAGCAAAGTGGAAGTTCGACCTCGGCACGAGCTACCCCGGCGGCGCTGCGAACTGGGGCACGCAGGAGATCCAGACGTACACCAAGGACTCCAAGAACATCGGCATCACCTCCAGTGGCACGCTGGCAATCACGCCTATCAAGAGCGGCGAGTCCTGGACGTCGTCCCGCATCGAGACCACCGCCGCGCAGGACTTCAAATGCCCTGAGGGCGGCAAGCTGCGCATGGAGGCGAGCATCAAGGTCCCGGCCTCGGACCCCGCGACGCAAGCCGGCATCTGGCCCGCCTTCTGGTCCATGGGATCCTCGTTCCGCGAGAACGTCACCTCCTGGCCCAGCGTCGGCGAGATCGACATGCTCGAGGTGTCCAACGGCGTCGGTACCGTGTTCCAGACCGCCCACTGCGGTGTCATCGACGGCGGCCCGTGCAACGAGAAGACCGGTATCAGCTCCAGCGCCGAGTTCCCCCGTGGACAGTTTGTGAAGGTTGCTTGCGAGGTGGACCGCTCCGCGGGTGGCAGCTTCCAGCAGGAGAAGTTGGTGTGGTACGTCAACGACAAGCCGACCCAGACGGTCACCGGCCAGCAGATCGGCGATGCGACATACTGGAACAACCTGGCTCGCACAAACAAGATGATTTTGCTCAACGTCGCCATCGGTGGCGAGTTCCCCGATGCCAAGGCTGGTACGAAGACACCCAATGCGCAGACTGTCGGGGGGGAGAAGTCCATGATGGAAGTCAAGTATGTTGCTGTTTACAGCACATAAGACGATTCGCCGAGACATTTCTTCCTCTCGACATTTACTTTCAATTCTTATCTTTCTCTCACGAGATTATGGGATCGGATTTGGTTCAACGAGTTGGGCGTGTATGATTGAATTTGAGCGAGCACTGCCCGGCCTGCGTGGAATTCATTAGGATTTCTCTGCACTTGTACATTAGCCATATCGGAATATAAGAACATAAACACTTTACCTTCCTATGCCTATTTGACGTCCTTGAATAGCTATTTCCATTTGGCTATGCCTTCTCGTTCAACATGTTCTTGAAACGATGCAGAGGAAGAAGTCAATACATACGTATAAAACGATTCACCCGCTAGGTTCACCCGTTGACATGTTCGTCTGGGACTACATTCAAGACAAAATCTTGACAAAATCGAGTTGGCATTCGGCAGTTACAGCTACAGTCAGAAGGAAAGGAAATCGAATCGAGTGGAAGCACGTGTTGCTGTCGATGAGGTTCAACATTGGATCACATTGTAGACGGGACAAAGACTGTCTGAACAAGGTAAATAGTCTTGTTTGTGCCACTCAATGGGGCGTAAATCGCAGAAGTACGCGAGAATATTATGTACAAAGAACTTCTAATATGTACCTGAAAGATACACGTCCTATATCTTCTCTCCTCTCAACAGCGGACCGGAGTCGACGCTGCTTAGTACTGAGCGGCGCGGCGGGCCTTGCGGGCAGCACGGCGGCGCTTGCAGCCGGTGCTGGGGGCAGTGGGGGTGGCAGCAGCGGCAGAGGTGGTGGAAGGAGCGGCAGCGGAGGGAGCGGCGGCAGCGGAGGTGACGAGAGTGGTAGGGGCAGCGCTGGAGGGGGCAGCGGCGCTGGTAGCGGCAGGGGCGGAGGCAGCGGCGGAAGAAGCGGGAGCAGAGCCGGAGCCGGAGCCGGAAGAGCCAGAGCCGTAGACAGCAGGGCCGGGGATGACGCTGAAGACAATGTTAGCTGCCATTTCAAATCGACATTGATATTTCATGTACTTACTAGTTGGAGATGGTGTTGTAGATGTTGATCAACAGGCCGGGGTCGGTGGCCTTGTAGGCACCAGGGAACGAGACACCCTCGGGCTTAGCAGAACCGCTACCCTCGACCTTGATCTGGTAGCAAGACATGTAGTACTGAGCACCACCCTCAGAGCCGGCGGCGTGGAGAGCGACGGTCTCGGCACGGAGGAGGTAGTCACCGGGGGCGATGTCGGAGGGTATGACGAAGTTCTGCTTGCCGCAGCCCTCGTTGATCAGGTCGTTACCCCAGGTGTTGTTGTTGGCGAAGTAGCCGGACTCGAAGACCTTGAAGAAGGAGCTGGAGCCGTCGGCAGCGGCGGCGTCCTCGACGGAGGAGAGGTAGATCATGACGGGGCCGTGGTGGGCGCCGCCGATGGCCTCCTCGGAGCAGGCACGGGTGTTGTGCTGGTGCATCTCGACGGTGATGGTGTCACCGGCCTTGACGCCGCAGGTGGTGGAAGCGGCGGCGGAGCCGGCGTTGCAGCGCATGTCGTTGGAGGTGACGTCGGTCACGGGGGAGTTGGAGGCGGGCATGCGGACGCAGGTGGACTCCTTGTCCTCGCCGTTGACCCAGAGTTGCTGGAAGATGGCGTGGCCGGCAACCATGTTGGCCATGGAGGCGGTGAGGGCGAGAGCAGCGATGGTCTTCATCTTGACGGTTGGTTGAGGTTTTGGTAAAAAGAAGGACGGTGATTCCGGGCGTTAGAAGCGATGTGCACACAATGGTGAAAATGAGTGAAGTGACGCCGGCGTCGAGCTGTAGAGAATGACTGAAAGTAATGAGTGGACAGATGAGTGACTGTTCTGTTGGAGAAGAGAGCGAGATAGAGTTCCTGGTGGTGAGACAGAACTCTACTCATATATGTGTGCCTCTTACACGCCGTTTCTCTTCTCCTCCCTCGTCCGTCACCCCACCTTCGGATAGGTCATGCCAGTTCAGACCTGCCAAGCCTAAACTATGGAAAGGGGCAGGCGTGATCCCGTCCCAGTACCCACGATGCCGCCTCATCGGTTCGATGATACCCAGTCACGATCCAGGATCTCGCCATGGGCGTTAATCTCTGGTGAGCACAGGCAAGGATGGCTCGCGAGACTCTCGAGAGAACCGCTACCGCCTCCGAACAACCTGGCCGCAGTCTGGCTCGCGGCGAGAACCGCGATTGGAGCAATAATCTTGAAAGGGGTTAACGTTGTGGGGAGGCCGTTGTTGTATCTAAATTGCGGGATACGTGCCTTGCAGCTTGGCAGGCGGGTGATGTGCTCAGTTCGGTTTGGTCGAAGGGCCATGCTACGGCCCTGCGGTTTTTTCTCGCATCCCTATGGTTGGCCCTTCTTTGGGAAGCAAGCCGTCCCAACTCGACCCCAAAAGACCCCAAGCTTAATTTAACCCCTTGACGGGCCACCTGCTTGCGCTCAACCGAGCCAACCACCTACGACGACCCCAGTCTGCGGCCCCTCCAGCTCACGGGTTGCTCGTCCGAACCTGAAACACAAACAGCATCTTGCCCCTGGCGCTACTGAGTCTGATAGATAAGGTCAGCAACGCGTGTTAGTGGTGCTGTGGACGTTCTCAAAGAGAGTTCTGGAGCTATCCGCGAATTTTGCGATGGTTTCTGCGGTTGTTCGGATCGTCCGCTGGTGAGCAATCTATTTGCCTTGGCCCCGTCGTTGTGAATTGCAAACCTTAGAATCTCCAGATCTTCCCGCCCGAGCTTTGCGAAGTTCGCCAAGGTCTCCACATCCTGGACAGTTTTGGCTGTCAACACTGGGCTTGAATGATTCCGATTGGCCCAGAGCCGCTCACTGATCATCCTCCTCGACAGGGATGCTGGTCGATGGATTGTGTCAACCAAAGTGGCCCGAAAGGGGCCTTGCCTGCTGGGATTGAACCGCCCACGAGCGGGAGCCACTACGGTACACGTGCGTTACGAGTAAAGGAGTTGGAAAGGCCCCATTGAGGTTCTCACCACAGCCGCTCTTGACTCAATATGCTTGCTCACGCGCTTCTCCGTTGTGGCTTTCCCTCCTCGATTGAGCGGCAAACCGTCTGAATTCAGCCGTCGAAAACGCATTGGCCTACTCTTCTTGCTCGCTTGTCGTCCGAACTTCGCGAGCCCATGATGTTTGTCGAGGGAGGATCGTCTGCGTCCTCGGCTCATTCAGTTGAGATATGTGGAGAGTGGACAACATCATTTCCGAGTGAAACGGGCCTAGAGATCTTGGGCGACTAATTTTTTTCTGCTTATCCACGGTTGCCACGAAGCAAAAAGACGAGACTCAAGAGGCACAGCGGGACAAGGGCTTGTGCACGACTGACCGCTGCCTGGGTTAATCAGCTTGAAACTCGAACTTTGGCTCGGCATGGATGAAGGATGCAGCATTACTAAGGGATGTATGAACACCAAGAGTCAGGGCGGCTTGATGCCGCTGCGAAAAAGAAATAAGACCAATTATTGTTTCTATGCAAGCGCGGGACGTTATTATCCATACGTCATTCGCACTTGCAATTGAATGTTGCAGTCAATTGTCACTGAATCGCAGGTCGAGCCGAGTTTTTTCGCGACGAGCGACTCGCGAGCCCAGGCGACGGCGATCATGGCACGGAGATTGGACGACCAGCCGCTGTCGGGGGATCGACTGAAAGCGATCCTCCGGGTAGGCGAGAGCCCCTGCATCTTATTACCCGGTCTTATCCTTGGTTGCATCCGTCGATGAATGGCAAGATATCTCTCCCAACCGCCAACCAGTGTCTGGGTTTATTATGAAAATCACACTCATAGTTGGGAGTGTCGGCACGAGAATCCGAAGAACCATGGCGCACCACAGGACGCAAAAAATAAGCTTGAAGTAGGATAGGTGAGTTTAGCTCCTCATTCTAAACCATTCTGGGTGAGACACATTGACCCACTTGGCCTGAGAAAACTTCTGGAACCAGTGGGCTCTTCCACTTCCAGCATCATCTCCCTGTATTGTTGATAAAGGCATCTTCGCCCACTATCCGCTATCTTCGTGAAATTCTTGCTTCATGCGAGAATTGTTTATTGCGCTTCGCCTCTGTATTGCCAATAGTTTCCGATTTTCCCCTTGTCCATGTCAACGGAGAATCTGAACCGAGAAGCTTGGCTTCAATGTTGTAATCTGCGATGCTGGTGGACTCGTGGCCAACGCATCCACATGTAGCTTCAAGCATGTGTGGCGGCACGTGTAAAGTCTTGGTCGTCGGTGGGTTTCAGGGCTATCGTCCCTTTAACAATGTGGAAGAAATTCGTCTTCCCGGTTTGTTATGCATGTTTCCGTCTGAGCACTGCCGTGGCTTCTACGGTAAAGTGACGGTGAAGCCATTCACGAGGAAACCCTGGTAAAGCATCGAACAACGCTACCACCGACAATCGGATAGGCTCTCGTTCCACACGTGTGTGCTGCTATTTCCTCTCCTCCTTCATTTAGTTGTTCCCGGATTCAGTCTCACCGCTGATCGGTAACAGTCATGACTTGCGGCAGAGGCGCGGGGGCGTTGCGCATCTCGACAGCAACCCTGGTGTCGTGAATGCGTCTGTCGAACTGCTTGAAGTCGAAAACGCCCTCCAGTTCACGTCTGATGGTGGCCAGGTGTTCGTGTGCTTTGAGGATCTCATCAGGCTTGTTGTCTTGGTGAACGTGGACCTTGATGAGGAACATCCAGCGGCGTCCAGGATCAGCCGGTGAAAGATTCTCCCATGGCGCGAGGTGAGTGAGGGGCGCCCCCCCTCCGTTCATTTGAAGAATGTAATGCCGTGAAAGGCAGAACTCAACCTCATCTCTGAAGAATTGATACGTCTCCTCAATAGCCTCGCTCTTGAACCTGTTCAATGTGAGTTAGTAGCCTACACATCTAGTCGCAACGTACGCACAAGTAGTTGTTGTCCTTCAACACGGCCGGCAGGTTTCGCTGGTCCCAGATCTCCGTCTTCTTGCGCTGCGTAACCGTCGAACGGCCCCCCTGAGGCGGGTCGGGAAAGTCTGTCCACCGCAGGGTGCCGGGGCGAGTGTTGAAGTCAACTTCCGGGGCAGTCGGGCCGAAGTCCTTGTCCTTGAAGACCTCATAGCGGGCTTGAAGAATGTACGACTGACGGCTGAGTTGTTGGTGAAGATCCTTCCACAGCATCTGGATGTCTTTTCGGGGAGTCTTGACGATCGAGTTCTGGTTCGAGATGCCGCCGGGCTTAGCAGGGCCCTTGAAGTAGAGAACGCGATGGAGACTCTGCCACGCTGGCATGGCGCAGAGGCCACCTAGCACCGCGCAAGCCGCCTGGATGTCGTCATCGTCGACGAGCGTCGTCAAAAAGAGCTCGTACATGACGACGATTGAGTGCTGGGACGCTGGAGTGAGATGACTGGGCTGGGCACGATGAGGCCGCAGTGGTGAAGCTCGGTGAGGTGAGTTGGACGTCGGTAAAATCGCGGGGAATCTGGTCGCTGGTCAATTGGAGGTCACGTGGAATTGATTGGTCCGTGCTTGCTCTTTCCAAAGACGCGCTCCCGGCGCGTTCTGTGCACCTGCCGTCACTGCCCCACCAAAGGTCACAGCTTCCCCGGAGCGCCTTCTGGGTTCCTTACCTCGATATGCGCTTGTCGCTAATTCTCCTCCCCAACCGACCAATCTCCGCCTCGATTGGAAGTAGACTGCTTCACACAACTCTGAAGATGTCGTCTTCAAATTCGTCGGCGGCGAAGCGGAAACAGAGAGACTCGATCTCTCCTCCACCAGTCAAGCGAAAGGTCCAGAGCGGGACGACCAGTAAGTAGCTTTGCACATACGCATGATTGTGCTCAATCCAGCTGACCATTTTCAAGAGAGCGCAGTCGCAAATTTCTTCAAGCCCGCCTCCCAGAAGCCGAAAGATCGCACGATATGGACAGAACGAGCCCCGAATGAAGACGCCCCAGCGACCCTTTTGGTTGGTCGTTACGAACCTGAGAAACCTCCTGCCGAATCGAAGAAGAGAACGAAAGTTGCCGCATTCGATCTGGTATGGCAGATCTGACACGACGTGACTGCTGAAGAAGTGTGGTGTTGACGCACTTCGCCCAGGACTCTACATTGATCACCACAGCTTCTGGCAAGAAGCATTCAGACGACGGAACAGACTGGAAGTGGTGGCATGCCTCCGTTCCCGGACGGCTGAAGGAGCTATATAACGATGAGGGGTAATGATCGTGTGCAACACATTTAGAAAAACCAGCTAACATGGCCAGATACCGAGTCGTAGTCCTGTCCAACCAAGCAGGGCTTGTACTACACCCAGATCCGAAAGCCAAGGGCCCCAAGTCAACAAAAGACCGAGTATCTTCGTTCAAGCAGAAGGTCAACGCCGTCCTCACACAACTCGATATACCCACCACGATATACGCAGCGACAGAGAAGGACATCTACAGGAAACCTCGGCCGGGCATGTGGAAAGAACTTTGCGAAGACTACGATATCAGCGACGAAGTCGACCTGGAGCACAGCGTGTTCGTTGGCGATGCAGGTGGGCGGATAGCGACGGTGAAGTCCGCCGGTAAGAACGGCTCCGCCACAGCAAAAGACTTCAGCTGCTCAGATCGAAATCTGGCCCACAACATCGGCATCGACTACAAGACTCCAGAGGAATTCTTTCTTGGCGAGGAAC